ATCAATTTCATAGTAATATACAATACATAAACAGTATAACAATTACTTTGCAGTAATAACTAATCCATCTTCATGGAGTATTTCTAAAAACATTTGATTTTCGTATTCCAACATGATTAATTAAGAAAATTATGCACTATGTTGCAATGTACATCAAAACAAGACATTAAAAAATAAATCTAACAGATACCATGTAATAGAGGTTAAAATTGGTGGCTTTTGTTCCTGAAACAATATTAGATATTATGTACATTCATGTCAAAACCTCCTCATTTTAATACTTACCTCATCAATATGAATCTTTGAATTTCTATCGTAAGAGATATTTTCTGTATCTGTGGTTTCATACACTAAAAGAATGTATTTACTATTTTCATTTGATGGATGTCCATAAACTCCTATAGTAACTGGTCTTTTAAAGCTAAAAAGAAGTATATTTATTACAATTTATGTTTATTTGTACATAATTATGTTTAATGTACCTATCAGGAATAAGAATAATATCTTCTCCACATGTGGCAGATTGAAGGCAATATTCATGTGGTTCATAAGTTGGCTTTGATATTGTTTGTGAAGCATATAAATCTGCGTCACCAATTCTATAATACACACAATATAACAAAACTGTTATTTACCTCTGTGTACAATATACATAAGTTTAACTTTAAAATGATATATATTTGTACTTACTCAGATATCAATATTATTTTAATGAAACCATCATACGTTAAACCATAATACTTGTATGAACCTGCTGTAACTTCATCAGCTGTATAATGTAACAATTTGTCTTCATTTGCTAGCACATAAGATACCTGTCAAAATAAAGTTGTTTTCATAATTTAAAATAATAAAATAATTTAGGAATGTCAAATTAAAGTTAGGTTAAAATTATTCTTACCAAAATGATAAAAGTAAATATATTCTTCATAGTATTATGTATCTTGACATGATTGACATTTAACAACCACAGAACTTGCTTTTACAGTCCTTAAAAATGACACTAAAAACGTAATATTATTCGATTAACCTTTCTTGTATACAGGTCTTATGTAAAATTAAGAAGTAATATTTAACAAAGCTACTATTGTCATATTATCAATTTAAATTAACGGATTTTAGAAAGATAAACAATATCTAGTGAAATTATATTAAAAAATAATATCCTTACATTACAATATTTTATATCAATCTTTACGTGTGCAAACGTTCGAATTCGAATAGGTTAACTGACATTAATACATTTGAGGATAGTAGTTCACCATATATACCAACATATTTTTGAGAAAATGACATTGCGTATATTTCTTCAAATAAAATGTAAAATACCATTTGGCATTTGTAAAAAAATATATGTATAATATATAGT